CGTGGAGGTCACCTTGCTTGAACAATAGAACGGTCTTGCTGGTCTTCAATTGAGTAAGGACCTTGCATTCAGACAGGTAACATGTGAAGAACCGAACCAGTGCGTTTACGAGAACTGGGGAAGATTCTTCAAATGTTCAAATCTTATCCTGTCAGGACTGGGTGCTGTTCGATTTTTCACAGACGAAATAATATGTCGCATTTCGTATGGGAGAACCGGTGGTACGATATATGCACCTTCCAACATTTCATATAAGTGAAGAATGGTATAGCCACTGAAGAGATCTGAGCAGCAGCTGTGAATGATTATTTTTGTTTTGTACATAACCCTCTACAATATGGGTAGACTAGCTTCGTATATATGCCTTCTTGGCTAGTAGTTTATAGTTAATTGTGAAACACTCTGTTCTGTCTCTGTTAAGACACGCAACATTTGTAGGATAACACTTCTTAATTCATAAATTTATCGTGCAAGCTTTCACGTCATGTTAGTGTGAGGCGACCCATTAGTTAAATGCAACACTGACCATTGAATAAGTCCTCTTCACCATGCAGAATGCCTAAACCTCTTGTATAAGTTCTTACAATATTATTAATCCAACCTATTCGTCCGTTCCTCCACAGAATGCGTCGCTCTATATCTTGTTGTTGTATATGGTCTTGATTGAATTGTAATTGTATTAGATCTCATTCCACTTTCCCTATAAGGTAAATTACTCTCCTATTAAATAACCATCAAACCTCTTACTTTTATAGCAATTAGATTATAACATCTATTCGCTCATAACATTACTTCATATACTCAGTGAACACGTATCATTTTGCAACGCTAACTGTTCGTCGTTCCATATTGCTGCTGTACATTAATCCCGGAACACTACTGCCGTCGTATTAAAGCCGGTATTATGTAAACGAAGGTTTAACTACCCAAGTGTGAGGTATGGGAGAAATACGGTCACACGTGAAAGGTCCCACGTGGCAAAAAGTTCAAGGCGAGCAGTCGAGATTACACCCACTACTACCACTGAATCAACCAACACAGAGAGGCATATGTATTGAGGCAAAACTATTGAATATTCGTTTCACGGAAGATATCGCCATCTTTTCGAGGAGCACAACTGAAGCAGAGATGCTCAATGAACTCAATGAAACAAGAAAAAAAATTGGACTGCGCATAAGTAGGACAGAGAGCCACTTCATGAAGAACTCATTGAAAGTGAGAAAATCGAACCAAACCGTTCTCTGATTACAGAAACCACCTCGTAAAAGTACCTTGGGTGTTCAGTGAACATGGAGAACAACGGAGGGATTAAACAGAAGAAAGAGAGCAGCATGGTCCGCATCCGGATATCTTAAAAAAGGCACCGACTCGATAACAGAATCAAAACTCCACGCTCATCTTTTTGACTCAGCAGTCCTCTCAGCACTCTGTTATGCAGCAAAAACGTGGTATGATACTTCAATCGCGTCAAAAATCTACGCACTACCCACAGAGCACTCGAACGATGTCTTCCGAAATAAAGCCGGTACTAGCAACGCTTAGACAGAACGACCACTCAAATATTCGAAACCTATCCCATCTTCGGGATCCAGAAGAACATTTATCGATAGCGAAACACAGATAGGCCGATCATATAATAAGAACAGATGACAACTGTACGAAAGGAACAGTGGAGTGGACACCAACAGAATGCAAGCATCCTCTTCGAAGACCACCGAAACGATGGGCGCATGTGTTCGTGGCCAACGTCGACCATCTGCACTCGCAGATGGCAACGATTTGAGGATTACAGAATGGGCTTTGGGAACGTCACCATGTTCGAAGCCGACCACCACCATGTACGACGATTGGGCGAGAGGGAAACGAATCGAAAATAAGCTGGAATCCGCGCAACCAATGAAGACAGGCCATCCAAGTATCCGATACGTCTGTCATTCGACCACACCATCAACTCCACTACAGCAATCGCAATTACGTTAAGCATATCTCCATTGTGCTTGCACAGATCCAAGATTCTAAAACATATATTAAGCGATAAATAGATCAAGATGGGTTCGGCGATCACTCCGAACAACATGTTCGATGTTTTACACTCAAGAAACCGCTGCTTTCCTCCCAATAACCTTTTTTTCAAACCATGGCATTACTGAGCTTAAGGAGAACAACCAACTTAACACAAATACCACTGAAATCGGCAAGATGGCTAGACTGCTTTAATGATATAAGAATGATGTCGCCTTAAAAAAAATAAACGACGATATAGCTTCTGGCTACTAATTCTGAATTCTCTTATAGCACAATAGTTTTGGCATGATATTATCGAGAGTGACGTTGAATAATTTTACCTAAGTGATATAGCATTTGCGGACACCAGTCCTTACATCGACAACCTTCCCGCTGTGAAACGGAGAAATTATGCCTTTGCAGTTGTTGTAATACTTATGAAGGGCATTCGTGTAAAAGTGACTCTTAGAACATGTAGTTTTCTGCAACCATTGATTACTAACTTACTCACATTGATACCTAGAAGGCCCGTCCTCACTTGTTGTGCGAGCTCCAGGTAAATTGTCATTAGCTTTCCTTTCGCGCAATCGTAGTCCATGGTCGTGGTCTGATTCGAACATGGTGATGACGATGGCAACGAACGTGTCCGTCCATAGTTTGGTCCTCCTCGACCCTTCGCTATCGATCTATATTCTGCTGGATTCCGAAGGTGGAAAAGACTTCCAATACGTGAAGTGTGCAATCTGGTTAAACTTTTAAGTGTCGCAATTTTAACCTATTATTTACAGAGTATGCAAATATCACAGCATCATTGAAGTTTTAAGCGTCGGTTATCTTCTAAAAGATATCGCTCAAACGTTCTATGGGTGAAGCGCAAACTTCTTGACGTGGTTGAAATCCCACCCGTTTCTGCTGCTTAACAGAGTGCAGGGAGGTATACGGAATCGAAACGGTGCGCCCGCAGTTTTGGTTACGTTATTGGGTTATTGGATTATTTGTGAGGTCTGGATGCGGACCTTGCTGTTCTCATTCTTGCGTAATTCCTCCTTCATGTTGTTCTCCATATTCGTTAAAGAATAGGCATTTGAATCAAAAAACCTAATGGGAACAAGTGGCAACATGTAATCTTGTGGTGCTTTAAAGAATATAATATTAATATGGCAGAGTGAACTCAACCTGATTAGAAGCACGGTTGAATTCTACTTTACTCATCGTCCAGTGCTTTGCCAGTCATGCTGACGATGATGTGGGTAAAAAGCTGTAGCTCTGAATATATGACAATAAAGTATTTGGTGGGATAACCAAGCCGAATTCAACAGCTAGAGTTTGGTACAATGAGAATTGATACACCTGAACCATAAATAAACCAAACCCGTATTTTCGATCCTCAATGGCTACTAGTGTTTCAGCAACTTCGCATTTTCCTCCGTTTTACTACTCTTTATGAACAGCATAAGCATGTTCTCCTTGCTTAGAAAACAAAGCGTTTCTGAAGAAGAACCTCGTGTCAACTCATCGAGAGTTCATACGAACAAAACAACTTCATTTTCTAAGCGTGTGTCGTTATTGGTCCGACATTAAAATACAAACTTTCTTGGGGAAATAAGCAAATAAAACAAATTATAGGTTGGGTGTGGAACTGAGTTGCCATACGGATGAAGGAGTTTAATCTCTGTGATTGGATCAGATCCCGGTGAGATGACATGCTCCACTATTTATCACAGTAAACTGATAACAAAAGTGTCTTATCAGTTGTATTCTCATTACGGACACTACACTATATATAAACTGCCTCTCTAAGGTTGGTCATTGTTAGTCCTTACAGCGAACAAATGGTGGATAATAGGTGCTTCTGTGGGAAAATTCACGTAAGAGTGAGTATAGTTTATGCAAAAAAGTATAGTCGTACAAAACTTATATTTTTAAAGCACACGGCGTTAAAGACTGAACTAGCAAAACCAGGGTTTCATAACTAATTTAAAGCATGTAAAGACAACAGCTGCAATATTCAGACCGGATCGAGAGTCCTAGCCGCTATATTTCTGGTAGTTACCTGTGTAAACCTTCTGAATACGCTCGGATTCATCTCAGGTTATCCTGGTTCGCCGACTAGGTGAAGTCCTACTCCTACAATTTTCTAAAAGGTGTCGTGTATCAATCTGAGCACTAAAAGAACTCTAACAAAACGAACACATTAGTAGATAATAAGAATGCGCAGTTGAATTCTCAATATGGATTAGCCTCTAATTATTCAGTAAATTTTTAGTTCTCTTACTCTCTTTATTTGTTCTTGGATACTGGTATACGGTGTGTTCTATGAACGTCGATATTTCATACTACCTATTCTCATAATACAGGTAGTTTCTGTCTTTTAACTAGCACCGTTCCCAAATCGCACAAATCAATGCTTTTAAAACTGAGCACAGAGAGTTTAAAAGGCGACGTTAAAAACCAAACACCTTTACGGCTGCATAAAAATCAAAAAGCATAGGATATATTCATCTCACCACATCTTCTTCTACGTCTTGAAATCCCAGAACCACCACATTTTGAGTGCGTCCTTCCCAGCATTAAACCATTCAATATACAGTGTGCTCCCACTAGGTCACTCCGTATGCTAGGATTTTTGTAAGCAGTGAAAGTAAAACTTAGGCAGCTCCCTAAAGCCGAAGTTGGACATCACATGTTTGCTCTGTACATTATCGACTCATATTCAGGTGTTCATAATAGCTGTTATTCTGATCAGCTTTCTGCTACGAATAGGACTAATTATGACATATGGAGAACAGTTACCTGGATTCGCACACTACCTGCTGATCAATGACCTGGTTTCAACACTTTCTTTGGACGGTAATCACCACCAATTTTGTATAGAGCACCACTTATCACCACTATAAGACCATTTTGCTAGCTCTAGCATGAAACTACCACAGCTAATAAGGATGATGTTAAAGTCCACTTCAGTTCGCTTTCAAAGCTGAACTCCTATTTAAAAATCATAGGAGGATAGATTCATCCAGATAATTATTTCCCTTTTTCGATTCACCTCTAAAACAGATTTCAGGCAATCCTGTGAATATTCTATACTTAGCAATCGCTTTCGTAATAACCTTATTCCTGAATATATACATTTTCACGGTGAATTCAATTACTACCTCGAGTATGCCCGAAGTTATAATGATTCAAGTTGTCATTATAGATATTCTTCACCTACTATTCCTTCCTTCGCGATCGTGAAAAAGCACTGCTGGAAGAAACTCGAGATTCCACGGAGTATTGCCCATTACCGCAAAACCCACACGTCTTACATCAGCTAAATGGTATTCAAATGAAACGCATCTGAAAATGAATATTTTTGTAGATAACTGTTTCGCTCAACAAATAGCAGCCCCCCGGTAAACTATTCACAAAGAAATTTATGGAAACAATATTCAAACATCCAGTCAAATTCATACATAGAAAGTAGAATTCAACAGAATAATAATAATAAATCTTCACAGTTCAAACTGATACAGGATGTGTTGAAAGAGGAAGGCAACAAAATCGTGAAAATCAGTTATATCTGTAATCACTGCTGTCTAAACCACCTACGCATGGCTAATACAGGATCATCATCCGAAATATCCTCATCTGCTTCGTATTCCACCACTTCAAACATTTCCAAACGACGCCGTAATTGATCTATTCCGAGCGAATTGTAGTCATTGAAGAGGTGTCCACGACTCTAAAGAAGAAATACATTGAACATACGACGGAGTTATGTAACTGAACTTGAAATTTAGGGTTAATTTTTAGCGGCAAGGACCGTATTACACATAAACGATAAACAAAACACATTCCCAAAACCAGATAGTACGTTGGCCGCAGATTCTCAAGCCAGGTTATAAGGACGTTAAAGAAAAGTTGAGGCAATGTCAGCTCGTCACGTTCGCATCCATAAGATCTTCAGAAGTAAAAATGGATAGAAATTAGGCACAGAGCACCAGACCAACAACCGATACAACAACAACGCACTGTATGGTATGGAAATGTTATTGCTTGGATATTTAGATGGCCCGTCCTCACTGGATGTGCGGGCCCCAGCATATTTCCCACTTTTCCGGAGTTTTGTTGGTTTAGACACTGTAGTTCCTTGGAGTCTTAAGGTCAAGCTAGGCAAAGTCTGCCCAAGGTCGCCACCACGACAGGCAGCCGCAGCTCCTGTGGATCACAGGGAGATTTGCCACCATGCGACTTTGACACCAGGACGGTGGTGGATCCTGGTATTGGTTTACTCTTAGCTAGGCTTCCTGATGGAAACGCCGAACTCCCTTTCAGCTTGGGAGAACCTGCTGGGGAAACCAATCTCCCCTTTGTACATTGCAACGGACAGCCAGAAACACCTCCCAGCTAGGATGAGGCGCTAAACCGTTGGGAGAGAAAACGTTATTAAGAACGAAAGAATGTAGTAAGACAGAAGGTGAATGTTTTTGAGGATAGAGAATTATGCTATTTCAATAAGAAACGTACCAAGAACTTGCAACCACGGAGTTGTGAAAAATGCGACGAGAAAGAAGTATATTTGTACTACACCCACATAGCTACCGTCCATGTTATGGTCGACGCTATCGTTATCAGTGTCGTCACCGTCCTCTTCTTCAGGATAATCGTTTCTCCAGTTATTTTCATCATTAGAATCGTCATCATCGTCGGCCACACGATCACTTTCGGAGTCCGAATTGCCAAGAAGGAGTGACTGTTCTTCTCTGGAAGAAAATTATAAACGCAGCCCACGTTTTTCTACGCAAGCAGTGGTTTAGAGGAACATAGGATAAAAACTCACTCAGTAGCAAAGCGTAGTTCAAGCTCAGAATTCCAATGATTTATTGGTTCTGTGAATGATCCGCGGTATATCTTGTAGTAGTCATATTCAACACTTTCTTCAGTATCATTACTACTCCATTTTTCCTAAAACAACTGTGCCACAAACCAATTATGGTGTTTTCAGAAAAGGTAAAATAAGTTTATCAAACCAATAAAGTAGGGGAAAGTATGAATGACAGTAGTGAAAAGTTCATCATACCATTGAATCATTATTCTGTCTAGCTGTGCCATCATCATGCTCAGCAATGAACTGCAAGCCTGTAGAGCCCCCATGATCTAAATTGTGGTAACAAAATGAAGCGACCAAGAAGTAAAGCCTTACTGAATACAAGAGAAATGATATCCACTTAGCACAAAAGCTGGATAAGACATCTTTTCATCCTTCCTTCCTGACTGTTTTGTTGCTGAAGCGCCTTACAAGGAAAGTGAAACGCATAAGACTTACGGGTATCAAAAAAGTGGTCCAACTTTTGTAATAAAGTACAGGCAGAGCTAGGCTTTAAGCAGCAACTGGTAACCATCTTGTCCTCAACAATACCAACCAAGACGACAGTGTTAGTTTTTTATTTGCTGCCTACTACAATTTTCCACGGTATGGTATTACGTGAAACACAGGTGGGAAACGAACGCGTCATCACTCTTTCCGGGAGCTAATGCGTCCACCACCGCACCATGTGGCTCCTTCATTTCGCTTGTCTCTTAGCACTCCTCTATCTATCTATCTATCTATCTACAATAACGCAGCAAATCCATCTTCTCGGTTTAGGAATATTCATTGAGAGAACCGATGGTAGTACAAATGAAGCAAAAACCTGACCCAATTTCAAAAAGCACTCTAAGCCCCATGATGAAATGGCTAACCACCACGGAAACAAACTTTCTTCTGACGTCACCTAGACAATTCTGGTAAACAGAATTCACTACAAACCACAAATAGAATAAACAAAACACCGACCTAAAGATCCAAGTTCGAATTCGATCACGCGTGCACCACTGATCCCACAATCCGTTTCATCATTTCTTACGGATTTAAACAGTGAAAACAACAAAGGATCATCCTTAAAAGAAAAAACTACCACTTAAAGGCAAACAAATAACCAGCAAACCAAATAATAAAGCCGAATTAAGTGAAATGATCAGTATATTTAGGTTTGGAAGTGTTATTAAAACACTTCCAGCAACAACCCTAAAGTGAATACGACATGGAGACGATCGAATGAATATCAACGTAGATGGCCGTTAATAATATAGGCACCACATAACGAATTTTGTGATCTTACGTCACGTAACGAGTAAAAGCTCTCGGCGTTGATCAATCTCTTAGGGAAGCACCGTGCATTCAACTTCATTAAGCATCGTTTGCAGGTGATTAAATGCATATCTGCCCTTCACAATGACTCGCGGTGGCTTACCGATGTTTCGAGCCAGTGCTGCTATCCTCCCAGAGAAGTTTGGTGCCAATCTGCCAACCCCGGAGGGATGCAAGGTTTGGTGGGCCAGACGCGCGGGAATCAATCTCATGTGTATTGCAGGGCGCCTCCGACCACTGTGTCGCATACGCCCTATCAGATAATAAACAGTTTAGATATATAGTGAAGTGATAAAGTAAGGTACGGTAATAAACAAAGATAGTAAAGCGAAATAGGGCACCTTGCGTCTCTTCTTTTCCAAGATAAGTGCTGCCTGTGGACTAGCGGAACGTTTGCGACGCACACGAATTATTGGCATTTTGTCCACCATACTGCTCTGAAAGTGAACAACAGTACTGAAGTGATGTAAAAGTAACACATAAACAGAAGAGTGAACATAAATCACGAACACAACACACATGCGCCAATGAATGTTTCGAAGTGTGAGTACAGTAAGACTTCCAGGGAAAACTCGTCCGCTCTTCCGCGCGATTCGCCCTAACTATTGGCCTTGAGACGGCAGTGGGTGGTAATGTGATAGTGTTTAATTCATTCCTAAGATTTCCGACTACGTTGGATTTTTCTTCAGTGGCTGTAGCCAAAAACTCGTATCTGAAATACTCTTCTCTCTTTGGTGGTTGTGTGGACCTCGGATCTGAAATATCCACGCACAGAACAAAGACATGTTAGTCTCCTCGTTACCAGTAACAGCATTCTTTGTTAGTTCATCTGTCCAGTAATCAAGAATCTCCACTGGGATTCATGGAGGTAAACAAAATCGTCCCAATAAATGCTTTCTACAAGTAATGGGTGTAAAGCAGCCGTTCTTAGAAACGCTAGGCACCTAGCATCTATAGTACGGAGGCTATCAATTTGATACAGAAGGTACCACAAAGATTCAATTACAGTAGAGGAATAAACTCTGAGTGAACGAATCGAAATCAATCCTTACTGTTGTTAATGTTAAACAAGGGTGAAGGATGAAGCTCTTGGCGTTGATCAATCCCTGATCATTCAAAATTGATGTACCATGCACTAGACTTTATTAAGCATTATTGGAGGTGACTGAATACATATCTGGTGTATAGAATGACTCGCGGTTGGCTACCGACGTATCGAGTCAGCGTTGGTATCATTCCATACAGGTCTGGTACCAATTTGCTGACCCCGGAGGGATGGAAGGCTTGCTGAGTCTTCAGCGCAGGATCAATCCCATGTGTATTGTAGGTCGCCTTTGACCATTACGCTGTACACGCCCATTTATTAATGTTGATACTCATTGATTCTAAAGCAGAAATTCACTCGTTTGTCGTGAACAAGTAGGGTAGCAGTTTGTGAAAACGATGATATAAAACATATACGACCTGGTGGCTGGACAATGTTTGTTGTACACATAGAGCGACAAAGACAACACTAATAAAGAGGGTGATCGGTGTCTCTATCTTAGGGCAACCTCATGAATCATATAGAGTCACACCGTGCGCGGCCATGATGAACATCACAATTGAGACATTCGCGACACAACCTAATTTTGGTTGCCTGCACCATGCGACGGCGCCCAATCTCTATGGCGGAGGACAGTATTGAGCTCAATGCACGTTATCCGTGTTGATTACTTCATCTTTCATCCAAGACATACCTCTGTTAAACGTTTGTGTTAGAGGGCTTCCTTGAAGCGCACGACATGTCGGAGAAGCACTGTCGTTATAGTTGTGCAAGGTCCTGATTGGACTCTGCTTAGCTGATGTAAGCTTCTCATCCTTTGAGGTCAGAAAATTGGTGCGAGATATTTTGGTCAGCTCCCTTGGCCCGAAAAGGGCTGGCGATAGTAAAGAACTGGGAGCGACCTAACCAGGCCATCCCAAATATTCCTAATATAAACTATTCAACCAGCAATCGACGCCACTCATATGAGGATAAGGAAGAGAAAAATCGGTAAGCAACAGCCGAACCCGCATGCAAATCGGAAGACATTCGTGGACGACGGATGCAACGAAGCTTATCGAATGTAAGAACCTTTGGAATTTGCACGATATATGATATCAGGTGCTACAAGAATGAAAAATGAGAGAAGTCGGCATATTAAATTAAAGGCGAAAAAGTAAAAATTTAAGAAGAAGCACGTCAATATAACATGAGCAGCTAAACGTAGAAAATGAATTATCTCACCCTGAGTGAATGTGAGATACGGATTTTTTTTCTCAGACCTAACCATTCTTATTAAAAGAGTCCAGATTCTTGATTTCCCTATGCCAGCAAACTCGAAAAGCCTGTCTGCAGTTACTTTTATCTTATCCCAATGATACACTGAGTTTACGAAATTGCTTATGAAACCGCGACTACAATGAGTACCATGTCACAAATGGTGTTGCCGTGAATACGTCTGAGCCACCTAGAAATTCGGCTCGTTGAAGTCACTGTTGACGGTCTATAAGAACTAACGAAGGTTATCGATACTGCATAAGGGATAAGGATAGGATGATGTTAAATGAATTCACCTTAATTCATCTAATTATCATTGCATATAATATTGATATAAATAAAAACAAACTTCATTGTTTATTGTAATGCGACTAAAAACAAAGTAGGGTATGAATATCATTTCCTTTTCGAATGCGGCAGAATTTGGTTGCAAGAATTGTCGGTGAGGTCTTACTAGATAAAAATAAACTTGTTGTTACCATTAGTTAAAAAATTTTCAAACAACAATTGCTATACCAATAAGACCCTCCCAGCAGTTTGCTTCCTCATAGGGGCTGGGAGGTAATTCTAGGCGTGGGGCTGCGATGTACAGCGGGGGGATTCGCCCTTCCGGCACGGTCTTGCAAGCTGAGAAGGAGTACGGCGTTTCCATCTGGAAGCGTAGCTAAGAGTAAGCCAATACCAGGATCCACCACCGTTCTGGTATCAAACTGATCTTATGGTGGCAAATCTCCCTCCGATTCACAAAGATGGGGATTGTCTGTGGTGGTGACGACGTGGTGCAGACTTTAGCTAAGCTAACCTCGGGACTGCAAGGATCCACAATGGCTAAACAAGCAAAACTCCGAAAAGTGGAAATTATGGCACTGTCCGTACAACCAATGAAGACCGGTCGTCTAATTATCCAAATATAACCACAACGTTGGTGAGATATTTGCAAAACTCTGGACCGCAGGTGTCTATGGTGGGGAACGAACGTCCTTTCCGGGGAGTAACGCGTTCACCACCGGTGATTGTTGACGGGTGATTGCTGTGGCAAAAATCGATAGAAATAGCTGAGAGACAGGCGAAACAAAGGAGTGGTGTGGTGGTGAACGCGTTACTCCCCGGAAAGGACAATAGCGCGTTCGTTCCCCACCATAGACACCAGCGGTCCAGAGTTTTGCAAATATCTCAGCAACGTTGTGGTTGTATTTCGCTTTGTACCCTGCCGCGAAATTATAGTAGGCAGAAAATAAGAAGGTATAACATTATCCAAATATAGTCGTGGGACATTAAGTTCGAAGACGAGCAACGGGATTTTTCTATTGATGTAAGGTCTTCTATCCCAAATCGTCACCTATGGTTTTCTATTAAAACACAGAGAAGGCGTTCGACGTTCATCAATGCCATGGGCTTTGGAATGTGAACCAGTGACACAGGATCGCACCGAAAACCACATGTTTATTGCAACGTAGCTATAAGGAATGCGTTGAACACCACCTGACCATAACTTGCTGTTATAAACAGCAAACGTTTCTTCCAAATCCAATGGAAGCGTAACTGAAGGTAGGGTTTTGCTTAGGAGAAAAGAGAACTGGAAATCTCTTGTAAAGTAAACCTTTAACCACCTTGCGGAATAAAAGCTAATTTCATGATACACTTTGATATCACCACCTTAGTACACTATCTCCTAGAATTTTGCGCTTGCTCAATGGGACTTCCGACTTAAGCTGTTGCCTTGAGAATCAACGACGGTTTATTATTAGCCCATAACGGACGGTATGGACACCACGGCGTCTATATTCGGTTTAGCTGGTTTCAGAGTTCTTTTCTTACCGCACTAATGATAAACACATATGTATATGAATTCGAAAGATCATCGAAAGAAGATCGAAATAGGAGTGAGAGCGAAAACGACGTTTTCTGCACTTCATAATCCACGAAAAACACGCTTTCGAACGAGTTCTACGACAACTCGGGAAACTGCGTTTACCTAAGGAACTAAGCGATCGATAGGACTTTATGAATGTTATTTAGTTATAAATACACAGTGGACGCAAACAAAATTGCACAGAGTGTGTGGGAAGCGCTGGGCATCAACAAAATAGTTTGGTCCTCGATGTGATTTATCGGATTGCATGTTTGAAAACAGTCTCAAATCACTAGTGTCATAATTTTTCAGTGTTCTGTAAATTGTCCTCAAAAGTACCCATTTAATTACCTAAAGGCTTCGGAACTTATCTAGTTACTCTTTCGCAAACATCAGAGGGTTTTGCTAGGCTCAGCAAGATCGAATGAATTCCATGCGTGAAACTCCGGATTTGAATTCTGATCGATTCTATGCATGCCATTTCTGTGTCTTAAGTCAACTATTCCAAGCTGTTTGTGCTCTTATTGCGGATCACTTGGAGGTAGAAGTCAAGGATTCATACCGAGATGCTGCGTACATATAGGAATATAGACCATACCGGTAAACACATACTGAGAAATGAAATGTGGCTGGAAAGATAGTAATGGAATCCGTTCTCGATGTGTTGAAACAGTGGAGACAGTTGCATATAAATAATTACGAGTGCATTTTTGGCAGAGGGATTACCCGCATAAGAAGGGCCACTTGACTTGTCAATGGGAACGTGAGAGAAGAAGAAATGAAGGCTCAATGAAATCAGAAAAGCGCAAGAAAATTTGTTTCCTTAACTGCAACTTAAACAAATTATTGCTTCTCATGAGCCGCCAACAATGGGCCATGAGCAATCATAAAACAACAGTAACTCTGTAATACTCGTGTCATGGAGTCGCCAAGCAAGATTAGATGTAAGTAGTGCTAATATCTATGCCTATAATGCTTCATGCACGTAGAAAACACTAGGTGGCTTTGTGAAAGAGGGTTCATATAATTAAATTATAGGAGAGAAGGATTAGTAAAAACAGCTGAAGGAAAAGGTTCAAATGCTTACTTAGTTGTTCCTTCGACAGTAATATGTCACATTGTCCTTCGCGTTTTCACCTTCGCCACAACAACTTTGAAGTGCTAGTTGATCGAAAGCAACTCTCAATTCTAGAAATCTCAATCATTGAATTACGATGAAAGAGGAAGAGGTAAACGACGACAAAGAAAGAAGAAAAAAGGCAAAAAATATGATAATG